CAGGATGCTCTGTCCACTTATCATATACTGTCAATGTAACTAACTATGCTAACAACATCACAACCGAGGCTTCCTGCTCTGATTTACTCTTGACTCTTCCGTTGGGTTTAGGTGAAAAACATAGAGGAGCACAGGCAGCGTAACCTAGACTCAGTGCTGGAGCTGATGGAGAGTGGCCAGGCTGTGGGAGGAATGGTTAGCACCACTACAGGTAAATAACTTCTCAAGCACAGGATTGTTCTCACACATAGTAGACAACTCCTTAACCCACAGACTGTGTGTTTGTGAAATACTGTGCACTGCAGGACACCAACCACACAGCCTAAATACAAGAATGATTCATTATTTTTATTTTCAATCATTCTAGACTGGAACCAGCCAGCCCAGGTGAACGAGGCTCAACAGGTCCAGCGTATCATCTCACGCTGTAGCTGCCGGATGCACTACATCAGTTACAGTCACGACATCAACCCAGAGGTGGCCACGCAGATCAAACCACCAGAGCTGAGGAATAACCATGAGAAAGAGGACCTGCTGAAAAAACAGGCTGGTATGTCTGTTCACCTTCATCCTGATTATCTTCAACCTGCAAGGAAGAATGCATCTGGGTTCTTGTAAAAGAGGCAGCTTCCTACATTTATTGTTGACAGTGGCAGCAGGGGAGGGGGATGGGATCATTATTTTTACCACCATATTTGAGATTTAAAGAGTTTTATTATTAATTAACAGGGGCTGTGGACACCTTTACCCTCATTCACCATGATCTTGAGATATCCACTAACCCTGTTCAGTACGCTATGATCCTGGACATCGTCAACAACCTGTTGTTACACGTGGAGCCTAGACGCAAGGTAGGCTGGAGCGTCAGTTGGCTAGAGGACCCAGTTTAAAAGATTTTAAAAGATTTCCATGTCCTTACTAATGTTTTTTTTAATCTTCTGGACATGTGGTGTATCCAGGAGCACAGTGAGAAAAAGCAGCGTGTGCGTTTCCAGCTGGAAATTTCAAGTAACCCAGAGGAGCAGCGCAGCAGCATCCTGCACCTCCAGGAGGCGGTCAGGCAGCATCTTGCCCAGATTAGACGCCTTGAGAAACAGATTTACTCCAACATCAGGGTGAGTCAGATAGTGCTTTACCAGTCTAATAATTTACTCCTTAAATGATCAGTTATTTAAATCTAAGTGTATCCTATCTTTTTATTCAACTGTCCTTCTTGAGTCCGACCGTGATATGAGTGCAATGCTAAGTCGCTGGAGAAACGTTAGCTTTCTTTATCCTCTTTCAGGCACAACCTGAGGAACTGAGCGGTGACGAACTGATGGAGATCAACACAAGACTGCAGAACCAGTTAAACCAGGAGAAGAATGACATGCAGATGAAGAGTGAAGAGCTCAACATTCTCATCAGGTCTCACATCAGCACTCCTCCACATCTTACAATACTGAGAAGATACACAGTCACATAGTTAAAAAAAATATTCTCTTTCTTTCAGGTGTTTTAAGGACTTCCAGCTGCAACGAGCCAACAAGCTGGAGCTGCGTAAGCCACCAGAGGACGTGAGTGTGGTGAGGAGAACTGAGATCTACTTTGCCCAAGCCCGCTGGTGTTTGACAGAAGAGGACGGCCAGCTTGGCATTGCTGAGTTGGAGCTGCAGAGATTTATGTACAGTAAGGTGAGCACAGCAGCAGTCTGGAGTTTGAGACAGCAGTTACTCCTTATCTTCCCTCTGTAGCTCTTAACCTTTGCTCTATGTTAAGCATTCTGTATTTTAAGAACCATCTGATAAAAGATAACAGGAATATATGACGTATCGTATAGATGCATTTGTTGTAAAACTGCAATCACTGCTGGATAGTAAATGTTAATGACTGTGAATACTTTCTTCCCTCAGCTCAACAAGTCTGATGACACAGCAGAGCATCTTTTGGAGTTAGGGTGGTTCACAATGAACAACCTACTGCCCAATGCAGCATATAAGGTACTTTTGCCTAGATTAGGCTATACTTTTGTATTTTGGTCTGTAATTATACAACAAAACATAATAACATCCATGACAAACACCCTTTTGATGCCGACTATTCTAAGAGAAGTTGTCAACAAGTTGCCTTCAATATACAGTATTTATGACTCTCTGCCTGGTTTCCTCTGTGCAGCGTGTGAGGGTATGTACAGTGCTGGTACAGTGACAAGACTTGATGTCTGTGTTGACTCCATCTTGTTTGTTCAGATGGGATCACTCAGTGGCTCTTCAGAGTTTCATATTCAGTGTTGCATGCACACGGTCAAGTATTCATTGATGCATGTGTGACCAAGGATTCATTACAAGTTCACTTAACTTTACGGTGTTGTCCATACTGTGTTCATATCATCAACGATATTAAAGTACACTGTTTACAGAATGACATCAAAGCAGGATTTCTACACTGACTCTCACCAGAGCTTCATTTTATGATGTCGCTCACTCCCTCTTCTTTTATAGGTCGTCCTTCGTCCTCAGAGTAACTGCCAGCTGGGACGCCAGTTTGCTTTGCGTATCTTCAGTAAAGTGCGCCCCCCTGTGGGAGGAATCTCTGTTAAGGAACACTTTGAGGTGATGAACACAACGTGCAGACACACTGAGTTAAAACATTTGGATTGTGCTTTGTTGAATATTTATTGTCTCCACCATCAGGTGAACGTGGTGCCTCTCACCATCCAGCTGATGTACCAGTTCTTCAAAAGGATGATGGGATTTTTCTTCCCGGGAAGAAACGTTGAGGAGGAGGAGGTCACTGATGAGGAAGACAAGTTCAGATTGGTTACCACAGGTATGTTGTTGTCGACAGTGACAATATGACAGCAGTAAGCGGAGCAGCACTTAGTCTGTCTGTGGGATCACCAGCCTGTAATCTATACCAACTAACTGATCAATAATAGTTTCCATTTTCTCTGCCTGTGTGTGTGTGTG